CCACAAGTTATTGGTCCTTGTAACTGAGGTGTTCTGCAGAAGAAAGTGCAAGGTGGTGAGTCTGTGAAGACCAGTTACATTTTCATTTTGCTGGTGAAGTTCCAAGCTCACCACATGCTTGTTCTTTACAGCTACCAAGAAACGTGGCAAGGGTAAGGCTGAAGAGGAAAAGTTGCCATCTACCATCAAGCACAAGGCAGAGCTTGCTCTCCAGAAAAAGTAGCTCAATTCACCAAGCCACTCTCCAAGCTTCTTGGCCAACCAATGCAATTCCATGAATGGCCAGTGCATTTATCAGCCCACATTGTTTTCCTGATGCACATTGGTTTTTTTTATTTGTTGACACTTTTTCCCAATGCACATTGGGTTTTTATTTATTGACTCTTTTCCCCAATGCTCCTCACCTTCCACTCTAAATTCCTGGAGGAGTCAGATCTCACTGCCATCACTTCCTTCCTACAAGGCCTAACTTCACATCCTGCCCTTGCCCCTCTCACCCAAGACCAGCTCCTCCTCCTCTTCTGGTCCATGGAAAGTGCAGAAGTCCATTGGCTAATGTTTCCCTCCACTCTCTTCTCTTCCTCATTCCAACAAAATAAAAATCAAGCATTACCTCTGGTGCTCTTCTTATGCCTTGAAATTGTTCATTGGCCCCATCTGCTTTTACCATGACCTACACCATTTTTCCCTGTTTTGCCACTCTGTACATATTTTGCCAAAACCACTCACACACCATGTTCACAAAAGTACTGCTTTCGCTGCACATACACATATATCACTTGTACAGATTTTACTTAACAAAAGGTGCCACTGGCACCTTTTTCTAGACACAGTGTTCAGTATCCTTCAGGTTTGAATGCGCCCAACAATGCCCCCTTCCAATGCCCCTTCCCTTGAACCTGTAGAGCATGTGGGTTTTTTAATCACACTCAGGATCAATGAGGAATGAATGCACCTGCATGAGCACCATGAGCAAGTGTAGTGATTTCATTCACATGCCAACCTATGAGGAGTAGGTGGTATACTGGAGTAGGGGAGGCCCACTGCTTGAGACAGTCCATCTGTTCTGCTGGTGTACTGTCTTAGCCTTCACTGATGGAGACAAGACTGCTTTTCCTTTTTAAAACTTTTTGGCTGAAGCTGAATTCGTTGCTTTTTTCGCTGTTGGACAACAAACAACCTGCATGCTTAGCATTTTTTTGAGGCTGGGGAAAAGGGGGGGCTCGCCCATACTGCGTCCTTAAGCCTCCCCAGCCTGCCACATAAAAACGCAGACACCCTACTCCCACGCACCACAACACCACCAACAACAACACCACGGCCACCCAACTGCCCCATGCCTTTCTGTTCGAATTGTGGGGCGGCTGTGCCGCCTAATGCTCGCTTCTGCTCGGGCTGTGGCCAAGCCACCGCCGCCGGCGCTGCCCCTGCTCCTTCGTCCCCCGCCTCCTACTCGCCATCTTCCTCCAGCAACGTGTCATCCATTACCGGCGTGGCCCAGCAGGGAGCGTCCGTTTCCAACGCGTACGCTACACTCATCTTTTCCTCCTTTTCCATCTTCTTCATCTTCGTGTAGAGCACCACCCACACCCACCCCCCTTGCAGGTACCTGATGGGAGGCCTGGGCAAGGGCGCTGACGTCAACACCGAGCTGTCCCGCATCCTGGGCGACACCAGTGCGCCCCATTCTTGACCCTCCTTGTTCTACTCTCTACTCGTTTGCTTGAGCTCACCCCCTGCACTCGCGCCTCCAGGCACGCAGCGGCAGTGGTCGACCGAGACGCGAGGGC